TCCTGGCCTTACTACTAGGAGCAAGGACGCTACTAGGGGCTCCTGGCTCTACTACCAGGAGCAAGGACGCTACTAGGGGCTCTTGGCCTTACTACTAGGAGCAAAGACGCTACTAGGGGCTCCTGGCCTTACTACTAGGACTAGGAGCAAGGACGCTACTAGGGGCTCCTGGCCTTACTACTAGGAGCAAGGACGCTACTAGGAGCAAGGGCATCGCTAGTAGTAGCAAGGACGCTACTAGGCCAAACAACCAGTGATACTTTGGCATTGACCCAGAATGGGTTGTTCCAATGGAAGTTCTGACGTTCCAACCCCCCCGTCTCCCGCATTAGGGAAACTAAATTCACGGTCATGTGTCAATGTGATTTTATCATTTATCATTGGACATCTTTTTGCATTCTTCTCTCTTTTGGACCGATCTTGATAAACACATGCTTTCTCATTTGCATCTGCTTGATAAACCAAATGCACCAACAACTCCTTGTTGACAGCTTGACAGCCTAGTCCACCCGAACCTCCACAGCGAGAGCATCTTCTCGAGCCTTACGCTCACGTGCCCTCCTCGGTGGAGTGCACTTTCGCTGCAAAGAGTGAACTTTTGCATAGGAAACTGGGCAGTATAGCCAACGATAGGAAACTTTCAACTATTGAGTCATTCAGCTAGCAATTAAACAAGTACAACACTGAAAGGATCTTGCAATCTTCCCGGAAAGTCATGTTAGAGAGAGTTGTGTAGATTGACAAGCAGTCCGACGCCTGCCACAAAGAAAACACTCCCTCACTACTCGAACAGAACATTGGAACACGCCTTAAGGTAATTATCCGGCAAGTAATGAGGAGGACAGGAAGCAAACTCAAAGTAAACACATCTACCCAGTTCGGGATTTCTTTAGCTGTTGCCCATTCTACTCCTTTGCTCCGGATTGCAGCTTCACCGTCTCTTAACAGTATCATAGACATGAACCCTTGAAAGCGACAACGATGTTGTGCTTCTCCCTCTCACTTCAACATGATTTTCAGATTTTGGCTTCTCACACTTTCCCGACCGAGGTGCAACAAAGGGCATCGCTACTAGGAACAAGGGCCTTACTACTAACAAGAAGCTATTAGAAACAAGAAGCTAGAAAGTAATTAGAATTAAATTAGAATTGAGTTAAATTAAATTAGAATTTTCCCGACCGAGGTGCTGTAACATCTGTTCCATTTCCTCTTGAAAGGCCTGGCGGAAAGAGAGCAAAGCTTTCGACTCTGCGTAGCGTTCCCGTGGCGAAGGGCAAGGGAGCTGCCCCATACCATCTCTTATCGAAGCTTTCGTGCTGCCAATCTGGAACTGACAACAAGGACACTTAGAGCACGAATGCCTCAGCCACCTCAACCTGCACTTTTGCCAACAAAAACGCCCCTGAGGCAAAATATATCTTCTAATTGGCCTCGGGCCTGAACAAAAAATGGATTTAACATGAATAGCGATTAGTTACTTTTGGAAGGTTTGGGTCCCCAGGGCTCAACAAGAAACCTTCCTTTGCTGCCTGATCTTAAACTTTGCAAGTAGCTTTCAGGGGCCGCACATTGTGTGACATGTCATCCAACACCCTGGTCAACTGCAGAGTTCCATCCCGCAGAAAGAACGTAGACGGCACATTCACCCACCAAACAAATATTGGGACCTCCGCTTCTGGGGGCTGTGGAGAGTATTGCAAGCAACAAAGAAACACACGCGCACAAACATTTCAGTTTCAAACCTTCCTGCATTCATGGAGGCTGTGCCAAAAGAACCTTTGCGGTAACAAACTTCCTCAACGCTTTACTCTGGTTGATGTCCCCTCTGAAAGAAAAAGATGTCAAACCCGGCAATCTCTCTAATGGCCTCTTCTTGACAGAACTGTCAAACAATAGAATTGGAGTCATAATCGGAGCGCTGAGAGAGGCATATTCGAACTTTTTTATCTTCTTTCGAAGCTTCTTCTCTCAAGCTTCAAATCCTTTTCAAGCTTCAATCTTCTCTCGGTTGCGGATTCGAAGGATTCGGATAGGTGCTTCTGACCCGTCTTCACATCAGATTCCCGTCTTGGCGTGGAATGGATCGCCTGGCAAACATCGAACGGAAGCATAGGGGGTTTGTCCGGCCGCGCTTCCCATTTACCAACATCGCCATTGTCAATAGTGTGTTCCCTTTTCTTCCGGTTGGCACCAACAGGGATAGCAAATCTTTGGTAATTACAGACCACTAGAATGGCAGTGTCCCAAAATGAATCCATCTACCTGTCTGAAGGTCAGTCTATTGTGAATGATTGTCCAGGTTGGTATGGGATTCTGTGCGCAGGTCTCGAGGTAGGTGATTACAATTTACTCCACTGAGAAATGGGAGAGCAAACACCCCCAGCTTTGCTCCCCTCTGAAGCCCAGGCTGATCATACTTCACGAACGCTGGGTACAGCATATCATCCTATTCTGCCCAGAGTTTTTTGTTCACATGTTTATGCTTGTTTGAGAGTGCGTGCGAGTCCTTTGACAAAAAGAGGAACAAACCAATTGACTGGAGTTTACTTTCGGTCAATCAATTTTGCCCCTCAGCTGTCTCCCAAAAACTTCTCAGCATCCTGGTTCAAGTCACATGAGCTTATCCACCTTCTTCACCGAGTCTTCCTTTCTCAGCGTAATCTTTGCCGCCTCTCTCCGCTTCTCTGAGTGCACATTGCTGAGGTTCGGCTTGCATGAACCTGGCCAACTTTACACCAACACCCCAGTCATCTGTTCACTGCAGAACAGTTCGCTCCCAGACTGTTCAGTATTGTTCACCGCGGTGTGTGACGGTGGATGCAGCTAGACCCCTGCAGCTAGCTTGAAGGGCCATCGCAAGTAGGTTGGAGGCCATTCCACCAGACTTTTCTGAGACCTGAGTTTGACAAAGGGATCTCCTGAGGCGCTGGCGCACACTGCCATGGACACAGGCGATGCTCGACATGTGCCATTCTGTCGCCTCCTTGGTGTTGCCAGGTGAAACCATGCCTTGTCACCCATGTAATGCCCTGAATGCATGTCCATGCGCAAAAGGCCTGAGGAGAACTTGAACAACCAAATGGTTGGGAGCAGTGCCAAGAAACAGTTCCAACCGCCTGTCATTTTGCTCGGCCAGGATCAAGGATCACCAATGGCCAGTGGCCTCGACAGCGTGAACAGGACCCAGGAGACAGCTGACGATCCGCTTTGCTTTCAGGTTGGAGGCCATCGCTCTTAGGTTGGAGGCCATTACTGCCTTAAAAGACATCGCTACTAGGAGCAATGTTCGCTACTAGGAGCAAAGGGCATCGCTACTAGGAGCGATCGGACGCTATTAGGTTGTCTCGAGCTTTCGTCGTTTGCGCCACTTTGCCGTGAAGCTGAGGGAAAAGCGAAGGTCCATACAACCGAGATTCGACCACAGAATCAGTCCTAGGAACAAATGGAAACCCTCTTCAGCGCGACTGGATCTAGTGAGACCCATTCTGAACTCAAGCTTTCCAGCATGACAATGAACCCAGATTTGGAGGTCATTGGAAGGACATTTGTTGCCTTCAATTGCTGATCTGTTTTTCGTTGAACTTGACATTGAACCATTGAACCGTTTGAAACTCAATACTTCCTCAACCAATCTCGTCCGAAGCACCGTTGCTGGAAGGACTTCCTGGAGTGCATTGTGCAAAGCAAAACAAGGCAAAGCGTACAGAAGCAGGCTTGAAGCAAAAGGCAAAGAAACACATCGTAAACATGTTCCCCACCCAAAGCCATTGGCCTAGTACATTCAGAGCACACCAAGCCAGCTTGATCAGTATTCGGGTGTCAAGCGTTTTGGCAAATGGCTCGAGCTTTGATGTCCTGCAAGCTGGTGACGATCAAAGCTGGCGACAGCATCTGGTGCTGATGGCAACCTTTGCTCAACCCAGTCGACTCAGCGACCCAAGCTTTGACTCAAAGGGCTTCTGTCTTGGAAAGAACGAGAAAGAACCGTTTGCAGCTGAAACTCAAAACACACAACACATATCAAATATGTTAAAGGCACGTATTGAGGGGAAGTAAAACAGAACCGATCGGCTGATCTCAGCTCAGCGGACGGCGATCTTTTTGTCCTTCTGATTAGGCAGTTGGGCAGTTGGCAGCATCCATTTGAGGAATGTTGCGCAAAAGCACCGCCAATAAGGTTCCGAGACCTACCTTACAGAGGTCTCAACTTCCTGCATTTTGTCTGCAGGAAAATTTTCAAGATCTTCCATTTTCGGTGTTTCCTCCATTGCCTCCTTCTTGGTTTCCTGGAGGTCTCTTTGGTCTCCTCGTAGGCTAATTGAGCTCTTTACTTTGTGGACTCCATGTTTGGTCAAACGCAAGCCAACTGCAACGAACAGGAAACCAGTGAAGAGAAGACACACCCCAGCCATGTCCAAGGCTGTGAGCTGCCCTTCCTCGTGTGATGATGTTTCCTCTTCCAGGCAGGTGTCGATTTTCTTGTACCGGAACTGGTCATAGGCCGAAGCAAATATGCCCTGGTACACCATCGTCAGCGTGTAGTAGCTGAGGGCATTCACTAAATCCGCCCTCACTGCAAAACCAACATAGACAGTGAAAACAGGATCACCTACAAGGTGGAAACCATTGGCGCACATAGCTTCCTGAAAGTCAGAGCGTGCTCTGACATCATGTTCGGGAACAACGGCAGCCTGGCATTCACCGCTCTCCAAACCTCCGATTAAGTCCCCTGTGTTGGGGAATGTGACTACCTCCATGGTAGGATGCTGGGCCCGTACCAAGTTCAACTGTTGCTGAATAATGCAAACTTTCCTGCACATCTCTGTGGGGGGATCGCAGTCCTTAATGCTCCCGATGCCTGTGCTCTGCTGTGCATCCACCACCAGCAATTGAGCCAGGTTGGCGGTGTATGTAGCGACCATTACCATGGTAAAGACCGCAAAACCGACTCGAATTGCACTGCCGGCCCTGGTCTTGGTATCGGCAGCTTTTGCAGCACCGAGGTCACCACCAGCAAAGAAAGCTAAAGTTCCTTGGTTTTGAAAACACAAGTTGAATCAAAAGAACACGTTCTTCCGACAAGTGAAGTGAATAAACTAAGCAACCAAGCGCAGCACTGAAGCCGAAGCCGATGCAGACCGAATCGAACCGATGGCAAACGCCGCAAATCGGAAAACCGAGCCGAAACGACGAATACGACGCCGCATCGAACCGATACCGAGCCGAGAAAAACATGCAAACCGACCGCCGACACCGAACCGATTGCGCGGCTGCTGCCGCGCACGCAGTCGCCGGCCTGGTGCACATTGAGCGGCATGGTGCGACCAATCAAAATTTATACAGAAGAGACTGAAGAGAAAAAAGGCTTCCAGCTCAATCTTAGCTCAAGTGTGGCCAGAACTTACCATAGGGAAGTTCCGGACTTGCAGCGCGTGAGACCAAGGAGAACTCATCACAACAGGCTCACGGAAAACCAATATATGATAGTACTATTACGATTAATCAATCCTATTATCACCATATATGGGCTCCACACGGTCCCAGATCCATGGGCAAGCGCCTCCCAACGTCTCATCGAACTGCTGCAGAGGTCCCTTGCTTGCCAGGTGGTGGAGGGGCTTTTACATAGGACGTTTACTGATGGTCTAGACGCAATATAAATTCATCCTGGGGTCCCAAGCACCCACACTGCCCTCTCTGAGGCATTCCCGTCTCAATCAAAGCACACGACACTCAACCATTCCCACAAGTTCAAGGCGCCTGAAATTGGCTGCAGGCAGGCTCTGCAGCTGCTTCCGGCGTCAGTCAGACCCAGTCCTGCAAAGGAGGAGGACGAGGAGGCAAAGCTTCCAGTTGGAAAACATGTCTTCGGCTTCGGTTCCGCAACCACAAGACGCAATCTCCCCAACCAATATAAGAGACCTATAGTGACTAAGTGGATCATCAATGAGGCAGGACCTGTTTCCACTACAGGCAGTGCTGGACCACGCCAGTCCCGCGCTCTAAGCAAACCCCCGACGCACTCACTGCACATGCCCTGCTGAGCTCAACAAAGAACAGTTAAAATTGAGAACGCAGTAGGCTTCATACTAGTTTCAGAGGCCCCAGCGCACGCAGCAGTGACAGCAAGCGAGAGGGCGAGAGAGAGAAAGAGAGTTGACACCTTCGCCAACCCAAACTACGCACTGTTTGAAACGGACGATAAGCAGCCAAGACTAGTCGATGTGTACTTGCACAGGTCCATGCGACTCCTGTTCTCTTGCAGAAGCCGCTGGGTGAGCGAGAACAGGCGCGTGCAGGAAGCCGTCGATGCAGGTATTGCCAGGTAGCGGCTAGCGGGCTAGCCACATTAGTGGGCACTCAGTGGCGCCCACTTGCGTCTCCACAGCATAATTGTGCAGCTCTCACTGCGCGGCTTCTTCATGGCCACTCTATCTTTTGGCTCACTTGGGTTTGTGGCCACTCCGAACACAGACGCTTGGAAGATGGCCAAGGGGTTCCCTGGCCCCTCAGCGGGCTCACCCTCTTCATCACCCGCCTTCAACTTGAACTTACCAATTGCCACTTTGTAGGCCTCCTCTAGCACAGAAGTCAAGGCCTCCTCCTTCTCATCCCGTTTGCAGAACCTCAGTAGCGGAAGCGGGCGTCAAGGAATGAGGCACGAAGGAGAATTTCTTTAAATGACGAGATGTGCGTCGACTCCGTCTTCACAACCTCTCGGAGCCACGACAAGAGGCTCTTGTTCAGAGAGTCCAGATCACCTTCCTGGAGCCGCTTTCTGTCCGCCTTGCCGCCGCCCGATCATACTGCTTACGGAGGGCCGCCAGGACAGGCAACGTTGTTGCCACACACCCGCTATCGGCTTGCAACATCCCACTACAAAGGGCCTCAGCACGCCGGCCAAGTTTCTGGAGGTCACGTAGTGAGCGTCCGTTGCGTTGAGCTCAGACAGTGGTGTCTTCCCGAAGAGCTTGAGGTAAGCGTCTTTCAAACTGAAATCACGCTCCAGCATGGCGATTGAAGATTTGCACTGGAATTAATCAGCACTCTCTGGGGTGCTCCCGCTTGCACCTTGTTGAGCTGGAGTCCCTTCGACTCATTGTACCGAAAGGCCTTTGCGCGGGCACGGACCTGCTCTATGTGGGCAAGCACATCAGGCAGAGCATCTTCGTGAACCACGTCCTTCTACCTTCTTGCTCTGCCGGGCGACGTAGAAGAGCTGCCTCATTCCGAGCGTGGGACGGAAGACCAGCTTTGAGAAAGGTACCGTATACGGTAACTATACTGATCAGATCAGCGGTCCACCCTATGTCTTCCAAAAGCGGCTCTGAAAAAGAGGAGAACAATGGAGAACACACGCACTGCGCGTGAGCCTGCTGCGAATTAATTTTTAGAATTCACCCGCTTGTGATAGACGGTCCCGACCCACGCCCAACCCCAAAAAGGTTCATGAACTGGAGCCTGGCCAGGGCGCTTCCGAGGGAGCAAGGCCACAATATGCGCTGCGCAAAAAGGACACCTGGCAGGGAAAGATCTTGGGAGATGTTTTTCGCACTGCCGGTGCCATCAGTCCCCACGCAGAAGATGTCCTTCGTGTCCATGCCCCAATCCTCTGCAAGTGTGCGTCTTGAAAATTCTTTGTCCAATGTCCAATGGCCTCTCGGTTCATGCGTAGAAGCTACATGACAATGAGCCAATGAATGAGTGAACGAACACTATTTCAAAATGTTCTGACCAGCCGACATCCCCCAAAGACTTCTCCCCAGAACAACTGATCACTGATTGCAGCCAAGCTGCCAAGTCCAACAAATTCATTAGCATGATTTTTGCTGTTGAGGGGGCCCTACTGGCTGCTCGGAGAGCTGCTTCAGTTTAAACGTCGGCGGCTTCTAGCCGGACCATCCACATCATACAAGTTAGACAGAGACACGCGACTCTGGCGCATGTTGTGGCCGCAGAGCTGACAACGCCGCCTCTGAGACAGAATCTCCTGTCCACCAACCCGCCTTGCGCACGACAACGCATCGCGCAAAGAGCTCAATGGCCTGTGCCCAGGGGCTTTGATCTCGAGCTTTTCAAGCGACACCACGCTCTCACCAAGCTTTGTGCTTAATGTCGAATCGAAGAGTCGTTTGGATGAGGCTGGGCACAAGGATCTCTCCGATGACATGAAGCTCGCGCACCTGCTTCACTATCACCTACTCGGCCAAATCTGCGTGCTTGAACTGCATGGCCGCGATGGTGACAGACTTGTCTTGCCTGAGATCGAAGCTGCTTGAGGGGGGGCATCCGCTCCTATTTGCAAAATTAAGCAACGCCATGCGCGCGGAACAAGTCTGTACCCATAAGCTGGTCAGGTGCCAAGCGGCTGGTGCCCATGGTAAATATACTTCACTCGGTGATACGAGTGCCGGTGCAAATTGCACGCAAAGGCCAGGCCTGCGTCGTCACGACTCATGGTGACCTCCTTCCATATGGCATTGAAAAGCTGACCCTAGCAGTTGGAACTGAACAAAAGGGCCATGTCTACATGTTCAGAATGGAGGTGAGCCATGTCCCAAGAAAGGGCCATGAGCCGTTGAGGTGTGGTTGCTTCAGCAGCGGTCCTGGGGTTCCCTTTCAGATCCCCTAATGTCTTTACAGTATGTAAAGAAGAGAGAATATATATATATATATATATGGCGCTCACCTCCCCAGTTCCAAGCACCGGCCCCACCCATCAACCCCGCCGTGGCAGCGGCGCCAAGCCCAGGTCGTCACGTCCTGGTGGCGCTTCACCTCCTTGGCGCGCCGCATCAGGGCGTCGGCGTCGCAGTAGACACTCACAGGCGTGCCCCGCAAGTGGCCCACAAAGCGCTCCACCTCAAAAGAGGGTGGGGGACGGAAGAGGATGGAGGACAGGACAGACTCGAATTTGAAGTGGACCGGAAATGGGTGGACCAATTCCAGGGTGGACCAAAACACGAACAAAACACCACGGCCTCAACCATGGACTCTCCGATGATCGGCCTATGTCCCCAACAACCCCGAGTTCGGAAGGGATCCAGGGGGATGATCCTCGGCCGGCAGCGCAAAAAGCTAGAGTCCTCTAAACACCTCTCAGCCGACATCCCCCCAAAGTCTTCTCTCCATAAGGCACCCTTTGCAGCCAAGCTGTCAAGCCCAACAAGTTCATTAGCGTGATTTTTGCTTTTGAGGGGCCCTATACTGGCTGCCAAAGACCTGCGGGTTGAAGAAACAGAGGGTTGAACAAAAAAGGAACAAAAGCTTCCAGGTACTGCGGGTCCATGGCCAAGTTTATACCATGTTTAGGCCATGCGTATACCCTCCTCATGTACACGCGTCCAGGCCCACAGGTGATGTTTCAAACAGGTTGCGCTTTGAATCGCAACCCCAGAGAGACGGGGTGCGCACGCCAGGTGCACCAGAGCAAAAGAAGAATCGTGGGCAAAGCGTGTCATTTCTCGAAGAAAGTAGCTCTAGCATGCTGTTCAAAAAAAGCACAATTGTTTTTAGACCCGAGTGAGCGGATTGTATCTTCAAGCGCCCAAACTTGGAATTGGATGGTATTATTCACCAATGACCTCAGCACCCAACGATCGAGGTTGCTTTTCACCTGGCCTTTGCTGACAGTAATCGATCCACGACGGTCCCGCGTCGTCTTTCTGCGGGCTGCTGACCCAAGACGTAGTCAACACAACGGGCCTAGAACTCCCGGGGCCTGGCCTAGGCATAGGCCTATCCTAGGCCCATGCCTACCCTAGGCATAGGCCTATCCTAGGCCCATGCCTACCCTAGGCATAGGCCTATCCTAGGCCCATGCCTACCCTAGGCATAGGCCTATCCTAGCCCTATGCCTAGGCTATCCATAGGCCTATCCTAGGCCTATGCCTAGGCTATCCATAGGCCTATCCTAGGCCTATGCCTAGGCTATCCATAGGCCTATCCTAGGCCTATGCCTAGCGCTATCCATAGGCCTATGCCTAGGGTAGCCATAGGCCTATCCTAGGCCTATGCCTAGGCTATCTATCC